TTGGTGATTGCCCAGTCCTCTGATTTGTCGAGCTCTCTGCAGTATCACTGAATACGTACCTTTAACAGTCTTTAATCATGGCATCTCCCTTGATCCTGACATACACAGTTTTAGTTCTAATATACCTTAACTTTTGCATTCTTGTGATTTTACCGAACTTTAAAAAAAAGTAATAAAAAAAAATAAGCAAGCCAACACCAGATAAGTCCTACCCTTGTACCTGCAGCTAAAGGGACTCTTCCGACACAGGAGCTGATGTGTACAGATGCTGAGTGGAAGAAGAAACAGACAGTATGAAGCATACAGTCCCTGAATGTATCTCACATCATTTGATATATTCACTCCCAAGTTTTACCAAATATTTCAGCAGAGAAACACTGAGATGGGTCACGATGTCATCCCACCCCAAAAACGCAGAAAATGACAGAAACAGCTATAAGACCAATGCACACCATAATCTGTCTTCTCCAAATCAAAACACATCATTCTGCAGCAAACATAAATGCAAAAAATATTTGTATTTTCATTTTGGTTTAGTCCAAAATCTAGATAATGCTTTCTGATTAATACCAAGAGACTTTACACTGAACTCAAGAAAGTCCACACAAGCTCAGTATTACATACAGCATGGATATATATTTGGCAAAGCCACATTCACTTTCCCTCTTCTTTCTATCTTTCAGTATTATTTTAAGAGTTCTCTGCCACCAAAAGGTAAATACAACTAATTAAAGAATAGTTTACCTTTTCTGTATTACAGTTATTCCTTGGGAGCAAATGAGAGCACAGTCTTGGAATAAACTTCAGATCTACCAGTCACACCAAACTTTGCAGAAGTGTGAGAAAGTTCACGTATTTCAGAGCACCAAATCTAAGCAAACCTTCTGCACAGTAAAAAAGATTCCAAATGCAAACATAGCACCGTTAACACAGGGTTATATATTTATATATATATAAAAAACCAAAAGAGACTGTACAACTAGGCTCAGATCGGTCCAATTTTACCCACTTTTGCAACAGTGTCACAGGGTCTAGTCAACACTAGTCAAGTTTGTCAACATACCTCTATGTCTAGCTATAAACTAACACAATCATTTTGACACTGAATCATCAAATAGAACTCTTGTTGCCTTTTTTTTTTCCTCATTTAGGACTGACAAAAAAAAAAATCATTCAGTTGAAGGAAGAGGACTGTCTAAAGTTCAGTTGTTGAACATAGGGTAAGGTTACACAGAGTTTTTTCCAGCAACGAACAATGTTGAAAGTGTCCTCAGTACTACAGTGCAAAAGCATTTCTCTTTTCTAGCTTAAGCATGCATTTTATTAAAAAAAAAATCTTTTTTACTGTGTAGGAAATGTAATCATTTCATGCATTCATGTTTTGCACTTCCAAGATTCAAAATTTCTCTTACAGACGCAGCAAAGCACTCCCTGCACAAAGGAAAGGAAAAGCTGCACCCTGAGTACTCAATACTTTTCTCTACATCTTACTTTGAAACAGCATGCTCATTAGATGTTTTCCTCTTAGCTGGGGAAAGTGAGCATGCTTGTGTTTGCAGCTCCTCCTCTTTCAAAGACTCACAGCTGCAGCTGTAGTAAACAACCACTAGTGAGGAGCTGAGAAGGTCAAAGTCTGGGTGCTGCATCCATTTCAGCTTTTCTAAACCCAAAATTTCTATTTCAAGAAATTAATTTTTTGTCTCATTTTAGTAGTTTAGTTATGTCAAGGAAAGGCAAAACCACAGTCATCCTCCAACAGAATAAATCAAGATACAATACTTGAAAAGTCACGAGCAAGACCCTTCAGCAAAAGTATTTTCAAAACCCCAGCTTTATTAATATACAAACACCTCAGTCACAGTCGCCTATTTTACCTGATCCAAAGAAGACTTGGTCAAAACCATCCTTGTACTCATGAGACCCATTACACAAAGCAAACACTTAACGAAGGAAGGAGCAAGGAGGTTGACCACTCTGAAAAGTGGTGCCAGCAGCCATGCAAGGCTCACATAGGTGATCCAGCAGCCTGAAGCAAGGAGGCTACAGCACTACAACTTCGTGAACGCTACTGGTAAGCGGACATCATGCACCCAGCCGTAAGAAAAGCCACACACACTTTCCATTATCTGAACAAAAATCAGGCCCAAAATCTGAACAATGGGATACCTGCACCAAATAACACAGACCTTCTGAAACCACACTGTGCAGCAGAGAGCTCTCCAAGCACCTGGGAAAGGCATCACCCATTTCCCCCAAATACATGGTCTGTATTTCTATTTAATTATGGTGGGTACCATCACGCACCACCTTGGTCTACATGAAGAGGAAAACAGTCGGTAGCACAGAGTTCTGCAGCCCAAGCCCTTCACTGACCCCATTCTAGCGTCTCCTGGAGGAAGAAGAGCTGGTTCAGCCCCACCACATTTCTGCCTCCTCTCATCTAAAGTGAAACTCTGCTCATGCACATTCAGATCTGGCTCATCCCAACAGAAACAGCTGGCAGAGGACTCCACAATTAGCCTGTCCTGGAATCTTAAAGTTTATTTTTAAAAGTTGTTACACACAGTCTTCTTGGGCTCTCAAGGGCCTTTCCAGCAAAGATTTTTCTACGAGAAAGCAAAGAAAGGCCTGGAAATACCATCACCAAGTATTGCTGGGGGGAAAAAAACAGAATTAAAAATACCTCGTTTCCCATACCCCCTATTTATATGTCTGATATTGCCTCACTATCAGAAGCAGAAAGCAAACAGTATCTCCCATATCCTAAACTCTAAATGCCCTATGGCATATCTCCTCCTCAAAAAGCCTCTTTTACTCCACAGAAGAGGACAGAAGAGGAAATATAATTTTTTCACAGCCCATTTTAAATTATACTGACTACTCCATGAACTTGGGGGGAGGGAAGGAAAGAGAACAAAAAAGCCAAAAAGAAGCCTAAACCACCTTGTAAAGCTGCCAGTATTCTAATGAAAAGGTCTGATTAAAAAAAAGGTGCTCTTCAGACTATCCCCCCACCCCCCCCCGAGTTCCAGGTACCAGACACAGTAAAAGAAATGGTGGGAAAAAAATACTAAAAGGAAAAAAAAAAGGGAGGAAAATACCACCGCTGTTGTCCTGAAGGCAGTGGGGGCGAGCGGGTGGAGGTGCTGGGCTGGCGAGGGGTGCGCATGGGTGCCACTGAGGGGGTGATGTCATCCCACCAGCCTCCAGCCCGGGCACCTGCCAGCAGCAGCGTAGCAGCGACTGCCAAAGCCTCAGGCAGCACAGGAGGGGAAAAAAACCAAAAAGACATTAAAAAAAAAAAAATCCGCAATGTTTCCTTCACTGTGCGCGGTCGGTTTGCGACGAGAGGTGATACGCCAGCTTGCAGACAGCGGTTTCAAGTTCATTACGTCCCATTAAAAAGACATTCAAAATATTCCCCCTCCCCCAGCCCGAATAATATATTAAAAAAAAAAGTAGACTCGGTTTATGCAACGTTACGTCATTAATAAAATGCTCCTATCGCCCCATCTGTGACCTATTCAGCACAGTTACTAATCCCACAGTGAGAACACTTTGCTGTTCCTGTGCATTTCAGAGTTGTAGACCAACCAGAGAGCAGAAAATGGAGCCCATATGCCAGCGCTATATAAAGCAGCCACACAAAGTTGCCACGAATAATGTACCTGCCGTGGCGAGACAAAAAGGGAAAAGCAAGGGGAAAAAAAGGGGGTGGGGGAAATACCATTTATTTCGTGATGGGTAATTAAAAAAATAAACTGGTTTATTGACTTAGGGAGTGGGGGACTGCCAAGAGCTAGCAGGATTTTACAAGCTCCATATAGACACGACCAAGTGAACTTCTCTTCAGTGCTTCCTACCGAAACTGCTCGTACCTGCTCCCTAAGCGCGTAAAACACCTTATTTCCCAAGCAAACCCGTTTGTGGGAGTGAACACCACGCCAAGATCGGGAAAAAAAAAAAAAAACAAAATAACCCGCTGTCTGGACCGGAGCATCGCACCCCTGCAAACCACGGGGAGGGGAATATAAAATAACCTAGCTGATTGCTCCTATCCGCCTCCCCCAAATTCCACCACCAGCGGTGGTGCAGGATTCTGGGGGAGGCGGATAGGAGCCCAGATCTCGTCCTAGAGGAAATTTCATCCCAGCTTTCAGAGGGCTTCATGGGGTGATGCCGATGCCATGGGATAACACATCTCCCGCAACCGCTCTGGGCACACGCTTTAAATATAAATACCAGCGGTTTGCTCCCCAAGCTCCCGATTTCTGGAAGAGTGGGTATTTGTTTCATAGAAGATAATTATTTTTGTAGAAGGTAATACAGCATTACACTCCTGGTTTTTATTTTTTCCCCCATCGCCCGTTAGAGTCCGATTTTTCCCCCGTAGAGCGTTACACTCCGATTCTTCCCTCCAAAGAGCATTACGCTTTATATTTTTTTGTATTTATTTATATATTAAATGCCCGCCCCCAAATGCGCAGGGGGGCCGCCCGCCCCATCCCCCGAACCCCTCGGGACGGCAGCACAAAGGGCTGGGCGCTCCCAGATCGCTGCTCATCACTCCTCGCTTATCGCTTTTTTTCCCCCGCTTTTTTCACCGTCCCCCCTCCCCCTCTCCCTTTTCCCCCTCCTAAAGCCTCAGCGGGAAAGTTGAGGAAAAGTTCGGGCCAGCCCTTAGCACCCTACCCCGGTGTCGCTGCCGCCGGGGCACCGGGAGGGACGGAGGGAGGAAGGGATGGATGGAGCGGGGGAGGGAGGAAGGGGGGGATGGAGAGAGGGAGGGCACCGCCGTTAACCCCCGGCTCGCCCCGGCGGCGCCGGGGGAAGCAGGGGGGGCGCCCTGCCCCCACTTTTCTTTAGAATTATTTAACTTCGGCATAGGAGCGATTTTTTGTTTGGTTGGTTTTTTAAATAGAAGGCTGACTGGGACAGCAGCAGCAAACCCCACACACATTCGCCGTTTATCCTGGCTAAGAAAGGGAATCGGCACAGACCTGAGCAGAAGCGGCAGAGCAGGAGAAGAAACTGTTCCCTTCCCTGACACAGGGTCCCCGCTCTGTGTGTCTGTCCGCCCGCCCCGCTCTCCCCGGGCTGTGCCCCAGCACTCACAGCCCGCACCGGCGGCCGTTCCCAGGAAATGAATGGGGGCAGCCAGGGGAGCCGCGGCGCTCGCTCGCCGCCGACTTACCCGTGTCACATGATGAGCCCGGGCAGGGTGGGCCGGGCGTGGAGGCTCCCGGCGCCGCCTGGCAGCGCCTCGCACTGGGCCCGCCGCGCCGCCCCGCGGGCCGCTCAGACAAAGGGTCCGAACCGGTGTCCCCGTCCCCCTCCCCAGCTCCCGGCCCCTGCTCCGGCCGCGGCGGGCGCCGGTGGCGTCGCTGGCATGCGGCGCGTCCCCGCCCCCACCGGCAGCCGGGCGGAGGGAGGGGAGGGAGGGAGGGGCCGCGCCCCCGCCCCGCGGCCGCCCCGGTGCGCCGCCCGCCCCGCCCCGGGGGGTGGGGACGGGAACGCCCGGCCGCGCCTCCCCC